AAAAAAACATACAACAGTGAGGATTCGCTGGTGGTCACCCACCCAACTACTAACTCACCGGCGTGTGGCTTAAGTACGGCTGAGCGGACGGGAAGCCCTGTTTTCCACACCCTATGGTCGTATGTACCAGAAACAGCCTCGATGTGTCTTAGGATGGACCATCGAAGACTGCTCCCATACACAAAAAGACAAAAAGACAAAAAAGACAAAACAAGGGTATAAAAGAAAATATCAAACTTACTGGAATCCAGTCATAGCCTCGCTCAAATGCCATGCACTCACAAACGCCTCGGGGACCACAGGCAGCGCAATCGCACTACCCACCAACACCAGCTGTAGGGCAGTATTGATCTTCGAAATCTCAGTGGGCTTGACTTCCGCCGAGGGAAGTGAGAAATCCCAGTACCGGGCCATGGTCTTGGGCTCAGGTAGCGAAATCCAACGGTAATAGATAGCCGAAATAGCCAGACCCAGATCGCGACCGAGGATGATCACAGCGAGCCAGACTGTTCGATACGTCAATCCATGTCCATGTCCAGATACCAAAGATCAACACGAGTGACTTACTAGGAAGAGAGCCATTCACGGCCAGACACGCGACACCAATGGTCATCAACAGCTTATCGGCCATGGGATCAATGATCGTTCCAACCACAGTTTGGAGGTTATACCGCCGGGCGATGTACCCATCGACGAGATCGGTGATGCCCGCGTAGGCGAACAGGGATAACGCTGCTGTGTGGTAGTTGTGGACTAGGAGATACCCGACCACGGGCGCGGCCAGCAGCCGGGAGAATGTGAGAATGTTGGGCACAGTGTAGATATTCTCGTGGGAGGTTGGCAGGGGAATCCGTGATAGAATAGGTTTTTTCTTGGATCCCTCGGGTCTAAGCTAGGTTAGTCGTTGGTTCGAATGGCTTATGTCGATTTGTATATTGAATACATAGTTTGGAGTAGACCTACTGTTCAGGAGATTTGGCTGATTTTGACCCGGACCATCTTTGCTGGGTGAAGAATGATGGTGCAATCAGGGTTGTCTGAAGACAACGAGGTTTCAATCTGATGAATAATTAGAATGATATAAATGAAGAAGTCACATACGACCATACCTAGGTGATCGGTTCAATGTTGACTGGACTGATGTAGATATACATCGGAATCCATCTCTCCGAAGAGATTCAGTTTTGAACACATTTGACTGGACAAGAAGACGTGCATTTTTGGACAGCACTTGGGATCCCTGCCGGCTCGCCCGAAGGGACAACTGGGCTGCGTATGAGCCAATCATGGTGACACCAATATAAGGTGACAGCGGCAGGTGTTGTTAGAAAACAAAAATTGACAGCGACACGATAATCACAAGCTTTCAACTAGCAATTTCAGCTGTGCATACCCGGTCGTGTTCAGGCTATGCAATGGTGATTCGGTGCAAGTGATAGAAAGCTGTCGCCTTGCACAGTTGCTGGTAAAGTTGCAAATTCAACCCCACACCAAATTAAACCAAGTATCAAGCTGATAGCGCAAGGAATGCAAATAAACAGACACAATGCTATATAGTACAAACACAATCTAGGGATTGTTAGCTGGATGTGTCGGAATTCGGGGCAACTTGGCTGAGCGGGACATACATATAACAGAACTCCAAATGCAGATCAGTTCTACCAGTAAATCAACGAGCTAGAACCAAGAGCTCTAGATCACGGTCGCCTGATGTTAGATGAACTTTGGAGATTGCACCTCGGCGATGAGTTTCTGGCCGGATAAATGGTTTCTCCGCCCGTCTCTATATCGCAACTTATCCTTCCTGTGGGCGTACTTTTTCTACATTCATCTATAGAAAGAAATATGACAATGGATTTGGCTGTTAAATCATATCCTAAACTGATAGTATCATCTATTGGTTCCCGATGCCAGGAGCCGCGTCAGGGGATCATGATCAAGCCTCTGCTCACCTGATATCTGTACCTGTGACCTAGAACCCCAGGTGATGAAAGACACATTGAACAAAATGACGACTTATGTCTAAGCAGTCAGTAAAAGAATATATATGTTAATCTCCCACACAGATGAATTCAAATTCTCGCATCTACGTCTAGAAGAAGCCTTAGAGCCAGATGGACAAGCAAGCCTGCCAGAACAAAGCTGCGGTCTTATCTTTGCGTCGCCACGATGTCACTTACTTCTGCCCAAACTGGGTGTGTCTCGGACTCACGCTCATTAACTCCAATCTACAGTGTACCATCAGCCAAAGAAAAGGAACAATCAGATCCAAATATGGCGAATCCACGTCTTCTTATCAACCGTGCCCTCATCTACGAGCGCCGACTACCTGGTGATGCTTATATCACCGCGAATGTCCAGCGCCTCCAGCATGGATATTACTCCAGTGATGCCGTATCAGATGGGGACGCTGAACACGTAGATTTTCTCGCTATTGCATTCACCTTCCATTCGCCCCACACTATCGCGCATCGCATCAAGTCCGCCACTATCAGTGTTTCAGTTCGTGGAAGCCGTGATCTTTCAAGTTCAAAGTTGTACCCTTTTGGATATCCACCCGGTAACCCACGCTTCCTTATGCATGCGCCACATCTGCTCTACGGCAGTGTTTCTCCAGAGACCATGGAGTGGACATTCAGTCTGGCTGGGTCCCTCGGAATTTCAGAACTTCCCGTCAGCGCAAGCGTCATTCCCTCGGGGAGCTTCAATGGTCGGTACAAGCGGTACGAGATGATGCGCATCCAAGGCTCCGCACGTACGTTAAAAAGCCCATCTGGCAGCGATTTCGACGTCGAAGCTGGCAGGATCGTTTGGTCCATGGAAGAGAACAATGTCCAGCGATCCGGTCTGCCGCGCGAGTTCACCTTTGTCATGTTGATTCAGAAACCCACAGCAAAAAGCAAGATTTCCCTGTCGATTGACGTCGACCCGGTCATCGACGCGATGATTGGCAGCTACCCATCATTGCTGCTGAAACTGCCTGAATACCAACCTTTGCCGCGCCGGGGCGTCAATTTCCAACAAGAAGTTGGACAGCGGTTTGAACCTGTGGACCCGGTGCGCGGGTTCATCTTTGCAGACCTCGGGAGCATGTTTGATGAGTACATCGCCATGCCAGGAAGGAAGTTCAGCCGTCAGGTATGTTCAGCAAATAAATAAAATGAAACCCTCAATGCATATGAAGTGAGCCGAAACTAATAGGTACTTCTCTCAGATCCAAATCCCATCTGAGACCAGCATCTCTGAGAATCACCAGGGCACCTACCCAGGCCAGCAAGGGTCTCTAAACCTAATCCCGTACCAACAACAACTGCAGAACCACAACCTGGCCCTGCAGAGCAATAACCTCACTTTGCAGAACCACCTCTTACGGACAACCCTTAGAACCCTCTGGACTACCCAGCCGAGGGAAGAAACCCAATACTTCCCACTCACTTCCCACGCTCATCCAACACCAACACCAACACCAACAACCTCCACCACCCCCCGAGCAGCTGCCATCACAATACCTCTCAACCTGCATCTCCACATCGACCCCGCCACAACACACCTCACCAACCTGGCGCGGACAAGCCCAGGTCCCTCCCCCCTAGGCCCGCGCCGCACACCAAGCCTACGGCGCACGCAAGCGCGGGAATTCCCAAAGGCTCCTCTCCACACCTAACAGAGTCGATGATCCCACACAGGTGCAGCAGCGGCGCCGCACTCTTTCATCTTGCCTCAAGGGACATAGGCTGTGTGCCTAATGGATGTATTTATATATGACTAAGCACGTGAGCTTCTTTCGTGACCAAGAAGCAAAGAAGTCACGGTTTACTTATATATGGATGAGATCACACTGGAATATGGGGGTCGCCTAAACCTATCGACGCTACGATCTATAACTAGGAAGACTTCCGCCTCAGAGAGAGAGGTCCGGAAGAAGCGCATGGAAACAAAAACAAATGACTACGCCACACCTCTCTTTAAAGACGCTGATTTTAGCGAGTGGTCGGATATTCAAGAAAGTCGACTGAGGATCGTCCCACAACTATTCAGCGCTATGAATTGTCTGCAGTATCTTCCGTTTTGCCATTACAATATCATATCACCGAGCAGACTGCAGACGAGAACTCCCCACTCTTCTGGAAATTCTCGTTCTATGTGGACGTCCTATGCACGGTACATCATGGGATTCCACCCTAGGAGCGGGAATAAATTCAGACAAATCATGGACCAACCCAACGATATCACGGAAACCTGGGATGCTAAAAAAAACCAACGCCATATACAAGGACAGCCGGACCGGCCTTGTAAATACGGCCGACGCACGATGGAGCGCCATCTGGGACAGACCAAACGGACAACAACACGTTAATTAGCACTTTAGCCAGATAGAAGAGGTGATACAATATAGCATTTCCGAACATCGGTATCACCTACACTCTTCTGTTGTAACTTGTTCCCCATTACACTACTTTCGAGGATTTCTCAGCCTCACTTGTTTTGGTGATGCTATATAAGTCACCGGATTATTGTATTAGCAGGTTAAATGTTTACTACCTATAAAGCGAGAAGCTGCAACCTGAGTGCCCCACGTCAACCTTCCTATCCCTCATATGGCTTTCTTGGTTGGCACTCCTACTGTGGCCCTGTGAAGATCAATTCCGACGAGTCAGATAGATCGCTTTTAGTAAATGCGTTCGACTTGCGAGCTCCTAAAGCACAAACGTAAGACACTGCCACCCATGCCTGGGCCATATTTTAGACCTAGCAGCAGCTAGGTCTTGAAGCCGAGGTGAGCTAGAAGGGGTACTCCCTGGTTAGTCGCTCGACGAGCCTAGGCGGAGAGCAAGCTGATTTGCATTCTCATGTGTATTCTTGAGACAAGGCCTCTGGTTTCTTTGGAAAATCATACTGATATATCATTAGTTGATGAGAATTTTGAAGCTGATTATTGGATAAGAGATCTATGGCCCACATGCTTTCGTGACATCTCCTATTGAAACGTATCGTAAGAGAAGAAGGGGCCCTAATCCGGGGCCTCTTCTTGTGATTGGGCTCGCCGTTCGTTGCTACCAGCACCTGGTTGGCTGTCCCCGCACCTTGATATAAATTTGAAGGAGCGCTTTTTTGATCGACTTACAAGGACACTTCCCTCCAAATCTTCTTGAGGATAGTTATATGTGACCACGAGCTACTCCAGACGCGAACTTAAGTCAGTTTATCTCGGATACTCATTCTTCTTAATAATGTCTACTTTTCACGGAAGCGATTCTTCCAAGGAACCAAATGCCTCCGACTACTGCAATGATGCTACTGCTCTACCTTTACGCCATCTTCAAATGAGCGAAACTACCTCCGCCTCTGACACGTCCTCAAACTTTGCACATATACACCCTTCGTCTATACCATCTGAGACAAAATTTTGCCTTCCCCAGTTCTCAGCTTATCCATGGGCTCCTTATCTGACAATGCCGAAACATCCGCTCGAGATGACTGTCGATACTCACGCAAACCCTTCTACATTCAGTGGTCAGGCTGTAAATAGCGCGTTGTCCGACACCTGGTCTACAAATAATCCGTTAACGAGAGATACTCAAGTCCTGTCCGCGGAGAGCACTGAGCCCCTTAGAAGCAGGTATGTCTCCAATTCATCCTTTCATAGCAAATCGCCAACTGCCTCGTCCTAGGAATACAAAAAGAAACAACCAATTCAAGTGTGGTTGGGAGAATTGTACCAGCTCTGGAGGATTGGCATCTAAGTCCTCTCTCATGCGACATATCGAATTGCTGCATGTTTCTCCACGTGGATTCGCATGCCCTCATTGCAGAAAGTCCTTTAACAGGAAGGATCAGCTCCAGGCACACAGAAGCACCGTACATGTTGGCTGGGGCTAACTGGCGCGTCTCAAACGCAGGGGTAGTGTGTCATAACTTGAGTTGAAGATTGATTGTTCAGTACTGCAAAATTCTTATGCTAGAGAGGGACTAGTAGCAAAACAATGTACCGCACAAGTAAAATCGAAATTGAGTTATAGTAGCCACAACAAGAACAAGCATCTTTGTCTACCAGGGTCAGTTCTCTATGTAAACAATGCAGCCTTCTATTTGATATCAAAGTTGTGTGAGCGAAGGCTGTGTATGCCAAATATCTCAAGCAAGATATGAGAGAATGAAAGAATATCTTGCCAGATTATTAGGATTCCTTTTTGTTTTACCTATTTGCACGATGGATTCCATCGGTTTCTACAAGAAATTACGATACTATAACAATGACTCATTGTGCAGAGCCTATAATCCATACTA